GGCACAATATGCTGGTTGATGGTTCTGTGTTTCATTTTTTTGTCAGTGGCCTTGTACATTAATTGCCCAAAGTGGTTTGGATTAAATTCACACCCTGCTACCCCCTCTTGTCCCTCCCAGCACATGTAGTTTTTGATAGTGATCTTTTAGAGATGTCCTTTCATGATTCTTTTCATAGTTCTCTGTATTAAATTTTTGGCCAACATATAGTTTATATTTTTGCTATCTTGCTAACCTCCTCTTAATTATTTAATATTAAATTCTCAATTGATTTCAACAATAACATTGGTCTTTAACTTTTCTAACCTCTTTTCCATATAAATTCAGTCACTCAGGGAGGCTACCTAGTTCTGTGTTCTTTAGGATAGAACCTCTCCATCACTTTTCCAGGGGTGGAGCATATTATAGTGGACTTCTCTTGCAGTGATGGCTCTGCTTTAGTAGTGGGTACTGGACAAGTGCCCTTTGATGTTCTCTGCATGCCTCTCCTGATGTGCAGTTTCCTGTATGTATAATCTGGATAAGGGCAATTGGGGAATCAGTATGTTTAGTCCACTGCGTGTGCATTAGAGTTTCCAAAAGGGAGCCCTGCCTGTCATGTGAATTTGCTTGGAATATAGCTTCTGCAACATACACCTGAGAGGGGAAGAGAAATGTTGGCAGCTTTTTCCTCTTGGGGTGAGATTTCTTAAGCTCTAAAATGGGAGCTTGGACAAGAGGCAAATCTGTTTTTTATTTAATTTAGTGTTCCTGACTTGCCTGCTGAGTTGGGACTAGGTGGGAATGAGGTGAGAACGAATGAATTTTGGCTGAAGGTGCCACAAATTATAATTTTCTTAATCAGATTTAGTAGCTTTACTTATGCAAATTATTTCTTCATTTGGTTAGTGTCTGTAGGACAGTTTCCAGAGACTTTAACTGGTTGTTTTTAAATAATTTTCACCAGTTATGGTTGTTTTCTGAGTGAAGGCTCCAGTGAACTCTTGAAGCTTCCTTTTTGTGAAGTTGGTGCCCACAGGTTTTGAAAAATGAAGACAATTTTTAAAAAATGTTTTTATTGATTTTTAAAGAAGAAGAAAAGAAAACATCGATCTGAGACTGAAACATAGATTGTTTGCCTCCTGCACCACCCTTAATTGGGATTGAGCCTGCAACCCCCATATGTACCCTGACCAGGAATCAAGCCGGTGACCTTTTGATGCACAGGCTGATGCCCAGCCACTGAGCCACAATGGTCAGGGCAAGACATCTTTTTTGGGGAACAGTTTAAGTTCACAGGAAAATTAGGAAAAGGAGAAGAGGATTCCAGTATACCCCTGTCCCTGCACATAAATAACTTCCCCATTATCAGCGTCTTCCACCAGAGTGGTAACATTTGTTAAAATTAATGAACCTATTTTGACATTATAATCACTCAAACTCTTCCATAATTTATGATTTACTCTTGGTGTTATTCATCCTGTTGGTTTGACCAAATGTAGAATGACATTATTACAGCATCATACCAGATATTTTCACTGCAAAAAAAAAATCCTCTCTGATCCACCTGTTTATTCTTCCCCCTAAGTGTTTCTGGCACCCTGGGTTCTTACGATTCTCCCAGTATCAAAAGAGATCGCTAGTTTTCAAAAGAGATCACTAGAAACCAATATAGTGCATTGGTCAGAATCGAACCCAGGTCTCTTGCATGGCAGGCAAGAATTCCACTGAACCACTCAGGATTCTTGGGAACGTCTGAAATAGAAAATGAGAGTGGTTGCTTAAGAATAGTACTCAGGTAAGAAGCTTATTAAAAAGCTTACAGGCCAAGGGAAACAACATTTAAAGGGAGAAAGAAAAATGTTGCTCTCCAAACAAAAGCCGAGGAAACAATTTTAAAGAAGTTATTGTGGAAAAGATAGAGAGGTAGGGACTCTTTGGTGTTTGTGTTGCATGAGGGCCAGATTTCCTAGACACAAGTGGGAATGAGATTCTTACAATATCTTCAGAAAATGAATTTTCTAAGACTCACAGGAGGATGGGAAGTGGAAAAAGATTTTATTGGCATTGAGTTACATTTCTCAGCTTCCAAAGTTTCCCATGCCACTTAAGATGGTCCTGGAAAAGCTGCAGCTGGGGTTCCAGCAGAGCCAGAAACAGGGCCAGTATCCAGAGTTCCTGTTTCGTGTTGCAGCTGGGTGTAGATCAGCATCCAAGCTAATTAAAGTCTATTAGTCCATATGTGTAAAGTCCAATATGGCTGTGTGTCCTATGGGCGCAGGAGAGCATCCCCTGGGTGGTGTGTGGTCAGAGTACTTTTAGAAACTGTCAAATTGTGCTTCAAAGTGAATGTACTATTTTGTATGCCCACCAGGAATGATGAGAATTCTTTCTGCATTTGGTATTGTCACTGTTTGGATTTTGGCCTTTCTAATAAATATGAAGTTTTAATTTGCATTTTTCTAATGGCATATGAGATGAAGCATCTTGTCATATGCTTATTTACCAGCTGTGTATCTTCTTTGGAGGCTGTGGTTAGGTCTTTGTGCCATTTCTAATTGAGTTGTTTTCTAATGGTTGCATTTTAAGGGTTCTTTTCTTTCTTTTTATAATGCTCATCCTAGGATATTTTTTTTCCATTAATTTTCAGAGAGAGTGGGAGAAAGGGAGGGGGAGGAGAGAGATGGGGGCAGAGGTTTGTATAAGATAGAGAGAGAGACAGCTGTGAGAGAGAGAGAGAGAAATATGGATTGGTTGCCTCCTGCAAGGCACCCTTACTGGGGCCAGGGATTGAACCTGCAACCCTGGTATGTACCTGGGAGTCAAACCCAGGAACCTTCAGTGGGCGGGCTGACCAACTAACCACTAAGCCACATCCACCAGGGTGTGTGTGTGTATTTGTAATCTTCATCCAAGGGTATTTTTTTCCATTGCTGTTTAGAGAGTGGAAAAGAGGGAGGGAAGAGACGGAGAGACATCATGTGAAAGAGATGTGTATCAGTTGCCCCTGGCATGAGTTCCTTAAAGAGTGGGGAATCAAACCCTTCTGTGTGTGAGCCAGCACTCTTAACGATTGAGATACACTGGCCAGCACTGGGGTTGTATATTTTTAATGATAGTCCTTTACCAGATTTGTCTTTTGCAAATATATTTCCCCCAACATGGGAGTCTTGTATCCTGCAACATTGCTGTAATTTGTTCCCAGCAGTTCTTATGTCAGTTCTTTCAGACTTTCTGCATAGATAATTGTGTCTCCAAACAAAGAGAGTTTTACTTCTTTGTTCCCAGTGTGTATATTTTCTATTGTCATATTTTATCAGTTAGGACTTTATGATTATCATGCTGAAGAACAGTGGTGATATAGGACATCCTTGCATTGTTCCTGATTTTAGTGTGAAAGCTTTGAGTTTCTCACCATCAAATACGATATTTATTATAGGTTTTTGATAGAGATTCTTTGTCAAATTGAGGAAGTTCTCAAGTCTGTTTTCTGAGTTTTTTCTTTTTCTTTTTAATCCTCACCAGAGTATATTTTTTTCTATTGCTTTTCAAAGAGTGGAAGGGAGAGAAACATTGATGTGAGAGACACCAATTGGTTGCCTCCTACATGTGCCCTGACCAGAGCTAGGGATTGAGCCTGCAACTGATGTGCGTGCTGTTGGCTGGAATTGAACTTGAGACCCTTGAGTCTGTGGCCCAATGCTCTAACCACTGAACCAAACTGGACAGGGCTGAGTCTTTTTTTAATCATGAATAGGTGCTTTTGTCACATGCTCTTCTGTATCTTTTGGTATGATCATGTGAGTTTTATTTTTTATCATATTAATGTGATAGATTATAATAATTTTTTTTTTTCACTTTTGAACCTGCCTTTTATTCCTGGAATAAATTCCACTTGGTCATCATATATGGTTCTTTTTATTTATTGTTGAATTCAGTTTGCCTGTATTTTGTTGAGGATTATTTAAGGTATGTACATGAGAGATACTAGTATGTAGTTGTGTTGTAATGTCCTTGGTTTGGGTTTTAGGGAAATCTGCCCTTATAGCATGAGTAAGGAAGTATTTCTACTGTTCGGTTTTCCTTTAGTGTAATGTTCTCCTTTTATTTTGACTTTAAGGCAATGTTTATTCCTAGCTTTATTTCATTCCAAAAGTCTTCCTTGGGGAACTTTAACAAGTAAATTCAGAGACATTCTGATTGCATTGGAATCGTGATGCAGTTTCCTGTTCGTTTGTTAGTTTTTTATTGATTTTCTTTGATAGAGCATGAGAGACACATAGACAGACAGACAGACAGAGGTGGATTTGTTTTCCACCTATCCATATACTCATAGGTTGATCCAGCCCACAACCTAACCACTCTAACCAACTAAGCTATATCCTGCCAGGGCCTGTTTTTTTTGTTTTGTTTTTAATGTCCCCACTAATTCTTTTGTATGTATTTGACTTCTCTTTTACCTTTTTACTTTATGTGCCCTTTTTTTAGGCTGACAGGAACTACTTGATGTTATTCCAGACCTTTAATACCTTTAGATGGATTAGAGAGCATGGGAATAAACATCATGGAATTAAATTGAATCAAGTAGCCTAGGCAATGAGTATGTGAAGGAAAACATTAGAAATAAGGATTTGGTGTAGCTGTGGTTTTATCTTTCTGGAAAGTGAGTTGCATTTTGAGAAGAAATATGTAACAGCCTTAGAAAATTTCCATGAGATTTAGTTTATGAAAGAGGTCAAGTTGATTGAAGTAATTGCCAATATTTTACATTTTTAATGCAAATACAAGATTTGATTTGGTTTTATATACCTGATCTCCTGTAGATGACTTATTTCTGTTATAATTCTCATTATCTCCATGGATGATTAAGTTATTAATATCACAAAAATGAAATTATTTGGTGTTTATGTCGCTATTTGCTGAGAAGCAGGCATGATGAGCATCTTATATTAAAATATTAATATCTGTGTTGTGGTTTTTTAAAGAGGACATAATCTGACTAATTATATTTCCTTTTTCAGCATTATCTGCATACCAGATATACTACAGTTTGCAGTCTGACTACTGGAAGGTTAGTACACATTTGAATGCTAGTGTTTTTTTTCATTTGGGGGCAAATTATACAAAATATTAATGGTAAGTAGGTAGGGTACATGAAAAGGAAGAAGGGTATTAGTTTGTGCCAGCTATTTGTCTGAGGTATCTTATCCTTAATTAGTATTTTTCTGACATGTTTTAAGAAGAGACATTACGTTCTCAGTGTGATACTTTTAATAGCAAACAGAATCAAAGAAAAAATACTTTTCCTTTTTTAAGTTCATGGTTGGGAATAATGAAGGGTGAATGATGGTGATTCTGAAGATAAAAGTTGAGTTAGTCTGAAGCTAAGGAGCATTTCTCCTTTGTACAGTTTCTCTGTGATTGAAGCTCTGGGAAGAATTAAAACTTCATTTTAGGACCTGTAGAACAGTTATGTTTAAGGATAAATTATCCCGTGTTATTTCAGTTTAATCAGTAAAGTTACACTATCAGATTAATCTTTCACAGCATGTATACTTCTTTTTTTTTTTTTAATATATCTTTATTGATTTGAGAGAGAGATAGGAACATCAATGATGAGAGAGTCATTGATGAAGCCCGCAACCCGGGCATGTGCCCTGACCGGGAATCGAACCCCAATCGCCTAGATCCTAGGTCAACCGCTGAGCCACGCCCGGCCGGGCAGCATGTATAATTTCAGGAATGGTATAGTTAACTAGTTAAATAGATTGGTTTTATTTTCATTTTTTAAAATATATCTTTACTGATTTCAGAGAGACGAAAGGAGAGGGAGAGAGAGAGACAGAAACATCAATGATGAGAGAGAGTCATTGATGGAGCCCGCAACCCGGGCATGTGCCCTGACTGGGAATCGAACCCCAGTCGCCTGGATCCTAGGTCGACTCTCAACCACTGAGCGACGCCCGGCGGGGCTAGATTGCTTTTAAATAATAATGTGTCAGTATTGTATACTATAAAACAAATGTATCTTATAATAGGATGTAACCCATAATACCAGTTTTATTATTTATTTATTTATATTTAAGTCATCGCCCAAGATGCTTTTAATGATTTTTAGAGAGAGGGGAAGGGGTCGGGAGAGAAGTATCAGTGTGAGAGAGAAACATCCATTAGTTGCCTTTTGATGTATGGGACTGTGCTCCAACCAGCTGAGCCAGCAGGCCAGGGCAATAACAGTTTTAGACATAAGTAATATGAGGATTAATTACATAGTGCTGTGTGAATGAAAGGAAAACTTTAGGTTACCCAGTGACTTTGAAAGCCCATGCACTGATATCTGTTATGGATAAAAAGCATTGCTGGTTTTTGTGAATTACTTGGAGTGCAGAGAAACAATGAAAAATAAAGACAATCCAAAAATATTTGCATAAATTTATTTTATTTTTTTGGAATGCCATAATGGGAACATAATATACCTATCATAAAACAAACCAATTTGAAGAGTACAATTCAGTGGAAGTACATTCACAAAGTTGTGTACCTGGCACCAAAATCAGTCTTAGAGTATTTATTTCATATTCTCTTATCCCCCCTGACCCCTATCCTAAGCAACCATTAATTTACTTTCGTTTCTAAATATCTGCTTAGTCTGGACTTGCCTTTTTGCACTACCATGTTTGCTGTATTCATATATCAGAAGTATTTCATTATGTTTTATGGCTGTAAATTTCAGTGTGTGGATATTTATTTTATTTATAATCCATTTTTTGCTGATGAACATCTTATTCACCCTTCGGGAATGATGAATCATGCTGCTGTGAATACTTGTGTACATATTTTTATGTGAATAGATAGTGTGTGTGTATCTAGGAGTGGAATTTGCTGGGTTAGATAGTAATTTAAAATTTTGATAACCCATAGGACTAATTTTTAAAGTGACTATATCATATTAAAGTCTCATATCTAATATATAAGACCCATTTCTGAATCGTGCCAACACTTGAGATTTATGTCTTTCCAAAATTTTACCATCCTAATGAATATGAAGGAGTTTTTCACTAGTTTTCATTTTTATTGCCCTATGACTAGTGATGTCTGAATATCTTTGCTTACTGGCCATTTGTTTACTTTTTTTTTTAATTTATCTTTACTGTTGAAAGTATTACAGGTGTCCCATTCCCCC